AGAGAGAGAGAGAGAGAGAGAGAGAGAGAAGGGAAGGGAGAAATGATAAAACAATTTAAGGCTTTTTCTAAAGGCTTTGTTTGAGCAAAAAGATTAACTACAGACTAGAAAAAGAGTTTCACATTATAATTGAAACACACAAACAGTTAATCATTATTATAATCACGCAATCAGTCATTTCGTGGACCAACAGTTAAAATAGTTATACATTAGCCGTAAAAACTGTGGACTAGTTTTTTCGAGTCACGGATTCGTCTGATGATCGAAACACTAACAGATTTTTATGATTTTATTTGATATTCTTGTCTGAGAGACCAATCTTTAACTATTAGATTATGGCTTGAATTCATACATAATATTACTGTCAACACAAGTGAAACTAAATATCTTTTATGTGCTCTCTCTCTCTCTCTCTCGTAATTACGTATAAACATCGACGGAATACATGATTTGATAATTTTTTTAATTTCCAAACAATTTCTATAAAACATATAATGTCTATAATAATAGACTTGATATTTACTTTTATAGATTACGAGTCTCTTTAGTATTTTAGTCATTATTTGTATTTTTATTTTAGTGATAAATATTAGGCTATAAAGTGATTATAAGAAATAAAAATCATTACCAATAGATTTAATGCGAAGATATATTTAATATAATAAATAGACATAAATTATATGTCGAGACATATTATTCAACAAAAACCTCGTATAATATATCGTATAATAAATGATTACTTTCTTTATGCAAATTCTATTCACTTTCTATTATAAAGTTATATATTATTGAAGTATAATATGAAAAAAGATTCAATCAATGAATTTAATGAATGACATGAATATAAAAACTTTATATTCAATACTATGTGTTTCCTCGACATAAGAGATGATAAAAACTTTATATTTTTCTCGTTGAGGACTATATAAACAATTTAATACTATTTGTTATTACATTATCAGCGGTTTTGAATGCATGTTATGGTTTTGATATTGATTTGAGGTTAATATGAAAGCCATAAATTAAAACATATAAAAGCATAACAAATAAATTCATTAAATATTTACAGCAAATTATAAATTTGTGCGAAAATTTGTGAATTAATTAATTTTTAAATTTCGTTGAATAGATAACAGAACTGAAAGTATTAAATATCAGAAAATAATTTTTAATTATAAAATGAGCGGTAATTATGTGTTGAGACGGATATATCAGCGCTGAGACACAAATTTGGGATTCAATTTCAATTAAAATTTATCGTAAATATAGACCAAAAAACACATTAATGTTTTTTCCTCCGCTCACATCCTTTTGGGATATATCTGTTTTAATGATAAAAATTTTTATAATTAAAACAAATTAATTAATGCGAAAACTCATTGGAAAACACCGGCAAATATTGTGTGACATAAAAGATATCAATTTTCCAATTAAATGACAACTTTTTTGTAGTTATTTATGTATTCATTACGAGAAAGACATACATATTGTCATTCAATCGACAATTTAGTGAAACTGATTGGATATTGAATGTTATAAGCATTGAATTAGTATCGAGAATGTGATTGAAAGTGAATAATTGTTTGGACACATCTTTCTCGTCGACCAAATGGTTATCCCTTCTTAAGCCCAAACATAATATAACGCCAAACCGTATCCATAGTGTGAGTAGTAATGTATTCGTTAGTTAAGGCATTGAAAGGCAATGAAAGTGGAAATGGATTTCATTGGGAATGAGTAAGGGCCGGAAAAATAGGCAAGATAGTGTTATGCATCACTCTCTTATTTTCAAGAAAATGTAACATATATTTACTAATATTAAAACATACACATAAAAACCGGTTTTGAGCAAACAGTATTTTAATGCAAAACATTAGGATTAATTTCAGGTCACATTATTTATATCAGATGTTAAGATAGGAACACATTTTTCATATAAAACGCAAGTGATTTACACTCTAATTAAAATAAACACTATATTTAATTTTAAAAATTGATCAAGAATTGTTTAATCTTAATATCTTATATATATTATGTGACCGGGAATTAATTTTAACATTTTGCTTTAAAATATTGTTTGCTCAAAACCGGTTTTATGTGTATGTTTTAATACTAGTAAATATATGTTACATTTTCTTGAAAATAAGAGAGTGATGCATAACACTATTTTGCCTATTTTCCCGGCCCTTACCCATTGATATTGTTTTGTCACTTTCCATGGATCTCTAACTTTGTAAGCATTACAATAGTATTTTTTGCACGCATTGTATTTATTGTCATAAAATATTTATCAGAAAAAACTCATTCATTCATTCAATCACTTTATTTTTGTCATTCATTACGTTATCTTCAGTCTGACTATTATTCTCGGCTTTACTATCGATTGAATTGTATGAATAGTTTTGTGTATTCCGTAAACACAATATGCGATATATTTTCCTATTATATAACAAAATTTTTATATATTCTGTGAACAAATTAAACACTCGATAAAATTCAAGCCTTCATATGAAGTGTTTGTGCATTAAATTAAATAATATTATAATACATTTTTTTTGCTGGAAAGAGCAACACATCGGGTAAACACACAAAAAAAAGTTTTGTTTACCATAAGTATTGAAACTCTAGTTTAGTTTGAAAATAGTTTAACGATAAATATATGCACAGAGAATAACAACTGTGTATATAATTAAATACTTTTAACGGTAAATGAAATTCTGTGTTGTTTTTCTATGAAGATCTGTTTAAACCGCAAATTCTGGTGCTTTCACACCCAAAGTGTATGTGATTTTCATTCAACACGTGTTGTGTTTCAACAGATGATAAGCAAATCATTAATATCTTATGGCTTTTATTGCAACTCAATATTACAATACAGTCGTCGGAAAGTAAGTATAAATTTCTATTAGAGTACAATTTTACTACAAAGTCATACAATATTTATATATAATAAGTATTGATTTTTTGATTTAACAAAATATAATCTAATATTTTATATCATATCATTTGATAGATATATAAAGTATATAAGCGTATAAGTGCTACATATAATGTATATAACTTATATGATGTTATAAGTTATATATAACAAAAAAGTCAATTACGATCTTTAATGTCATTAATGTAGTTATAATTTATTTATTTAAGAAATTTGTGTCTCGATTATAGCCATAGATTCGGATGATATGATACCGTATGTGCTGTACATCGAAATCAATCATTAATTTAATGAAAATAATAAAAAACTTCACCGAATTTGCGATAATTTAATGAAAACGAAACTCAAAGTTATTTATGAAATATTTGCCCAAAAGACAGAAAATATTTGTCTAATGATTACTATAGCATAGAGTAGACTAATCGCAATATTTCGTATAAGTTATAAGTTAAAATTAAAATAGTTATACGAAATATAGTATGACTTATGATTTTATTAGTGGAAATTATATTTTAATTTAGCATTTCTGATACAAAATATCATAAACTGGTGCTGAATTTAAAATAAATCAAATTTGGCAAAATTTTAAATACATATTTCCAATGAAATTTAATATTTAAAATATTTTTATGAAAAATTTGCTATTTTAAGATATTTCTGTCAATTGGTTTACATAACATACCTCTCACGAGAGACATACCATAATTATGTGATGCCTTATAAACGTCACATTAATTTACATTTCTATATTAAAATTTTAAATTATATTTAATTATGCAATAAAATTATTGGAAATGTATTTTAACATTTATATCACTTTATGAAGAATATAAAATAGTTTATTTGCAATTTATTAATTCCAGCGAAAAGGCATTAAAACCTCATTATTATAATAACATAATATACTGTTTAATGGATTCATTTAAATACTAAACTTGAGCTGAGTTTATAACAAAATAGAGAAATATCTAAATTTAGTATTTATGTGATTTCTAGCACCAAATTATTATTCAGTTATTCTCCCATAAACTAGATTTAAGCCTCAAAAATACCAATAAAATCACAGACAGTGATGCCATTCACTCATATATTCACACAGAAAATCATAAAAATGTTGCGAAAATCAAGGGTTTTATTGTGAGAATATATACAGAATATAAACTCGTTTACTGTTTATATATTGATTGACATGAGATATATGGCATGGATTTACATGTAATTTATTTAGTGATATAACTGTTGACTATCCAATGAATATCCATTTTTGAAAAAAGTTTATCCAGATGGTATTATGGCATGTTGTGATTTAATTTATTTTAGTTATATTTTTGTAATTGCATTATCTGCTTATTTAATAATAATTTTTATTGGAACAAATTGCAAGAAGTCTTAGGAATTTAATTAAATTTTATTCAACATTATTGTGCTTAAATTATAAAGAATACAACCATAGAATTGAATGTACTGTTAGTAAATGTTTAATAACAGAATTCTATTGTATTTAAAATGTAATTCATTTTTTTAGGAAGTGTTGAAAATAAAAGGCATTTGCAATGAAATCCATTTAAAAAATATTTTTAAAAACTGAATGCAATTTTATATTTTCAATACAATTATTGGATGAAAAGGATGTGAAATTGTAAAAATTAATTAATTTTTCTAATGTTTATTATAGTATTCTTAAAATACAATATTATATGTTTAGAAATTATGGCCAAACAATGCTGTGTCTGAATGTTATAAATGTGTCTTTCAGTACATGTTTTATATTAAAAACCAATTTCTTATGGAATAAAATGGTTTTCTAAATATATGTAAGATTTTATTTCAAAAAATTCATTCATTCAGTAAAAGTCTGTATTTATATTGAAATTTTATGCCGATTTGAATAAACACTTGAGGAAATAATTTGCATAGAAATTACAAACAAATATAACACATTTTGTGTACATTTTTGATGTAAATGTTTATAGATTATATTACAGTTATACTTCAGTGACAATTCTTTGCGATTGAATTGCATTATAAAAGCATTAAATTGGATGAAAGAAATGAATTGTTTGCCAAATACTTAACCCATAAGACAATACAATGGACTCGTTTTTGTTGTTAATCCTAGAAAATAGTCGATTGTATGGCTTTTAAGTTTTTAAGCCACAATTGAATTCTCTCTCTCTCTCTCTCTCTCTCTCTCTCATCTCTTGAGATATACAGTATTTTGAGAACGATTTTTATCAATGCTTTCTTCATTTACCCAATTATTGATTGCCTTTTAAAAGACAATTCCCCACAGAATGGGTCAATACATTGATATTCCTGTTGTTTCTCTCCGTTTCTCAATTGTATTTCACAACAATTTCTCATTTAAAGCAAGAATTTCATTTGATTTGAAATCACGAAATTGTTAACACAAATGACAACCAAAACAATGCATACTTTAATAGAAAATCTCAATTTATTTAATAGGATTTCGAGTAATTATACTAAATAAATACGTGTTTTACAAGTAAAACAAAAACAGTGAATATACATGTAATGCGAATTCAATAAATGACATGTAAATTGCATTTCCAATAGACCTATAATCAAATGAAGTTTTCTTATGATGTGTTTTGCATTTATTGTGAGACAAGAAAACAAAATTTTCTGCGACTAAACCGTATTAATGTCATTATGTCATGGATTTTGATAATTTAATTTTACCCTATTTTTCTCCTCATATCTGATCAGTAAGAATATTCTGATGGATCGACACATTATGTTATTGTCGTGTTATATGCCGTATAATAACACTGTTTATTAGATTAAAAGATTTAGTTTAACCTTTGTTTTCAGTCAACCGTATTGTTATGTAAACCCAAACAATATTCTCTCTCTCTCTCTCTCTCTCTCTCTCTCTCTCTCTCCGTTATCACACTCTATCATAATATCGATTTTTGTCATTTAATTGAATTAAAAGTAATGTTTTTATTGCAAACTCAGTATAATTGTAAAACAACATTCATTAAGCAAAATGTGAGATAAATTGAAAATAATTTGTAAAAATAAACTTTTTTGTGACGACAATCGATGCCATCATTGTATTATTATTTCAATTAAAAGTGCTATTTTAGAAATAAATGATTTAACATTATTTTATAGTTTATTATATTGCATATTATAATTCCTATATTGTATTTTTATCACATTTATCAGATTAGCCATATTATTAGACTAATGACTTGTATTATATTATAATTGAAAGATTTAACAATTTTATAACAGCAAAATAGTAATTATTAAATTCGAATAATTTTATTTCTAGTTATAATCTCTCACTCATACAAAACACACAATAGTATTGATTTATTTAATTAAAAATAACATCATGTGCCATTAACATACATGTATGACAACATAACGACCAGAATTGTGACAAAACTATTTCGCTTTCAAAAATCACTTATATTTTTGGCTTTAATTTGCAAAACGTTTGAGAAAATTATTTAAACATTGCATGAGAGCAACGAAATACAGTAAATATAAATATAACTCATGTCTGCCCACACTTCTCTCACACATAAAACAACATAATAATAATAATAATAAAAACACGACATAAACCTAAGCTAATGGCACTATTCTGGCTATATTTATATCCATATAACGCTGTCTATAAAAATATAATTATACCATGGATTCAATGTCTTTCTCTGACACAGACATTGGCACCGGTAGTGGTAGTGTGTGTTTGCGAGACACACAAGTGTATGTGTATTGAAAAACAACCTTAATTATTCATTTCATATTATTATAATATTTATTATTGTTATTCTGTGAGATAAATAAGAGTTTTATGTAAAATGGTTAATTTTTATTTTGTCATACGATTGGCTAAAATTTAATAAATGTAAAAAATCTATTTTCATCTCATGATTGATAAAAATGTCATCTCATATGACATGAATTCTGTGTTCATTAAGGAATATATTCTTACATAAGAAAAGAGTTTTGCTATCTATCAGTGAATGCAATTGAAAACATCGGGTGATTGTAAAAAATAAAGTACAGAATATTCTTGTCTGCCTTTTGTATTCAATTTATAGTGTATTTTCAATATCAATACAATTGATTGAAAAGCATTATTAACTTATTGTTGTTTATATTTTACTATCAGTGAAGACATCGGATCTATTTGTCTGACGTATCGATCGCTATAAATATAATCCCAACAACAAAAAAACTAAATAATAAAACATAAATGGATTATATTTTACGCAAATTTAAATACAAGCAAAAGCCGGTGCAGTCTTCGGCGCCGGATCTGGTGGTGACAAGTCCTCAGTCGATGGCCACGGACTCCAATTCGTCCAAATTTGAGTTTGAACTCGAAGAGAGACTTTCATTACATTCATTTCATTCATCGCCAGACAAACACCGCGTCCGCCGACACACCGCCGGCCACTCGTCGGACACCCAATTGGCTAATGGTGTGCATCGAGTCGGCGGAGAGTCCGGTGCGGCCGCCAGTAGTGGCCATCGACGACAGTCCCATCAGTATAGCAGTCATTATTCGTTGAATTCGTCGCCCTCTCACTCGTCCGCCTCATCCGATGGACCAGAACTCAGGCTCAACGCCGCCGTCCATAAGGTATGCCATGTTTTGCCGTTTGATTGTAATTATTAAATGAATGCTTTTCTTTGAATCAGTTTTATTTTGTCATTTAATTGCTTTTGTGTTAAATTGAATTATATTTTTTGTTTTATAAGAGACTTTTGTATGTTTTGTAAAGTTTTATATTAAAGTTTATATTTTTGATATTAAATTGAATTAGAAATGAATTTTGAATTTTATTTTCTATTTAATAATCAATATTTTCATTTAAAACATATTTGAAGAGACTTTTACATGAATTTCTCTCTCTCTCTCTCTCTCTCTCTCCGTTATCACACTCTATCATAATATCGATTTTTGTCATTTAATTGAATTAAAAGTAATGTTTTTTACTTATTCTCTCTCTCTCTCTCTCTCTCTCTCTCTCTCTATACAAGTTATTTATTTTGTCAGTTTTTTAGTGAAAATAGTTTCACATGAATTCTCTCCTTTACTTCTAGCGATGTCTAACATTTTAATGGCATTTCTTTTGATAGACTGAAATTCAATTATTTTCAAACTCAATGTTGTGATAAAATGAACCATGCTCAACATTTATAATATAACTTATCGTTATAATAATTTATTATACTCTCATATATTTCATATTATTTTATTCCAAACAATAGTTAAGTTATATTTTTAAAATAAATAACTTACAAATATAATGTTTATTGGAATATATTTTGAATACTTTATTAGTTTAATTATTCATAATTATTGTCACAAACTTCTGGTCTTTTATAAGCTTAAAACTACAAATTAATGGTTTGCATGTGTGTTATAACTTATAAGACTCTTGCAAAACATTAATTAGCATTTCAATTAGTGTTGCCAACTACAATTATCATATTCTTTGAAAATTTGTAAAGTTTCAAAAATTCACCATGACCTTTCCTTGATAATTTTTATTACGGAAGGACGGTAAAAATGTTTATATCGGAAAAATATCCTTCTATGCCAATGTGAGATACTTGCCTGCACCTTTATCAAAACCCTCAAACATTGTCAATTAAGGTTAACCTAGACCAGTTGGCCATACTTATCAATGTGTACAAAAAACAAGACGATTATTTAGTTGGAATAATTATTATTACAGTTGAATATGTTACATATGTATGTATAATTTTGTTTAATTTAAATTGACATTTAGTACGTATAAACTTATATGAATGTAACATATTCAAAATTATTTTCATATAATGTCAAAACACTGACAATAATTATTGTATTTTATTGAATATTTGAAACTATAAATTGTATTATTTTATGTGATCAACTTTTCAATTTTGCTTTGATTAGACATTTATAAAATTGTTTTCTCTATTATTTCTCTGAGTTCTTATGTCCAGAAAATAGTTGACCAAACTTAGGGTTTGTACTGTTTAGAGAGAGAGAGAGAGAGAGAGAGAGAGAGAGAGAGAGANCACAACAAAAAATATATAACTCGAAGAGAGAGTGAAATGAAATTAAAACCAAAATAAAAATCAATTGCAAAAAAGTAAAAATTGTTTTTTATTTTTCTTCCCTTTCCTTTTTGTGCCAGAATTATATACTGAGAGAGAGAGAGAGAGAGAGAGAGTACAGACGAAAACAGTATAATCAGAGAATAAGATAGAGAATAGAGATTTGATACACAAGTCTATAATACATGACAATTGAGAGCAAATACGTAAATCTCTATAGACTTGCAATTAATTATATAACAAATCTATTTCTTTCGTTTCTCTCCTCTTATTTTATTTCTGATTCTGTAATACAAACACAAAGTTTTTTATTACTATTATTATTATTATCGAGAATCCATTTGTTTGCTGATTCTGGAGCTCGGGTTACGATTCTGTGAATTTGTTATATAAATATCTTTTATATTTCTAATGATAGACAACAACAAAATAGTGAGAGAAAGAGATTTATTCAAACAATTATACGCAAAATTAATGAAAACACATCTAAATCTTAATTAAATAAAAATTTAATTATCATTTTGTTCTCAACGCATAAATGTTTGGATTAATTATAATAACAAATTAATTTACAAACTCTTTGCAAGAATACATTATGAAAACAAATAAAACATTATTAATAATACAATTATGTGATAAATAATGTTTACTACAAATGCAATCTAGAAATAACATTTATTAAAATGTATGCAAAATTAACCATGATGATTTTTACAGATACTTATGGGCCGACCGGTGATAGTTCGTCGGCATTATTACGACGATGACATACAAATTGGTGACAATTCATTCGCCGTCGACTGTCAGTATTGGCATAACTTCTTTCGGGCCAAACACGGGTCGCCCCCACTGTCTGTGTCCTATCGGTTAGTCAATATGGCACAGGAATGGGCCAACTATTTAGCCCACACCGACTCCTATAAGTATCGCAACAGCGAAGGCATTGGCGAGAATTTAATGTGCAAATGGACGTGTCATCCAGACTTTGATCCTCCAGGCATGTCATCTCTGTCATAATTGTCTGCCCACCAGTGCTTTTTACCATAATTACATTTGCCATAATTGCATCTAACAGTTATAAATTTAGCAATAATATATTATATACCCTGTGTTTACAGCCGCACAAAAATACGATTACATTTATAACACACTATTATTTAAGACAATAGCGTATAAAAAGCAGTTATTCATAGAAAACATATATTGTATTAATATATAACTCAAGCAAAAAACGCATTGAAAGATATATTAAACGAAACGGCAAAACAAAGAAAAGGGAAAATAATATATAAATTTGATATAATTTATTTCATTCTCATTACTATTCCTCGCGTTGTTATAATAGTCTTATATATCATTTATAATGTTATTCCTCTTATTCTTGTACTTTATTCGTATCATTCATTTTTATATTTTGTTAATCATATTGTCTTTTAGGCGAAGAAATAGTAAGATTTTGGTACTCGGAGATGGAGTCATACAATTTCAACATCGATCCGGCTATTATGCATACCCTGGCCAGTGAGTAGACGTGCATCTATTTATTACATTCTCACCACACCATACGTGCCAATACGTGTCCATATGTGTTGTATGCTGTTTACGATTAACCTAATTTACTTATTTCACTCGTATATAACTCTCTCTCTCTCTCTCTCTCCCCTCTCTCTCTCCCTCTCCCTCCCTCTCTCTCTCTCTCTCTCTCATCTCTGATGCATTTCACGGCTTCATTTTCATATAAATACTTGAGTTAATTCAAGAGAAATACATTTGATATTAGTATTGTTTAAATTGAAAAGTTTTTAAAAATATTTTAAGAGAATATTTTGCAGAATATATTTATTATTCTTTATTTTTTTGTTATTTTGTGTTGAAAAGTAGTCTCAAAATTGCAACGATTCTAAACACTAAGAGAGAGAGAGAGAGAGAGAGATCTTAAAACTGGGTAGACTTTGTTTATGATTTCTAATTTATTTATAGTGGGAAAAGCGATATTATATCTGGATTTTTCTTATAAATATTTCACTTTTGGGAGCACTTATGGTAATAAAGATCTCTCCAGAAAATTTCATGCATCCCTTCATTTAAATGCTTTAAATCTATTGAATGAATTCAATATATTTTGACTTCATTTCCATATAATATATTAAGAAAAAGAAAAACCAAAACCAAAACATATTAAATGTTTTATACATTTCCAATTGACGATGAAAGATATCTCACAAACTGCTGGGTGAATTTAGACAAATTACCATTGTCAGATATTGCCAGATATACCAAATTGCACAAAATAAATTTAAGTTGAACCATGAACAAGATTTATATCATTAATGAGTAGAATCCGAGTATAATTGTCCTAAAGAGGTATAAATACAGTAATATAAGCCTTACCATTTCAAATATACAAGTCCAATTTTAATTATCACAAATTAATTTAAATTAAGAATAAGAAAATATAAATTTTTAGATTTGCAAAATTTTAATTTTCACTTCATTTCTGCACAAAATGTTTACAATACCAAAGTTACAAAGCAATAAATTTTAACTTTTTTGCACGAAACACAACAGATTTTTGCAAATCTAAAATTTTTAAATCTACAAATATTATTATCAAGTAAATATATGTTCAATATCTTTGATATATTTTATTGCCATTAGATGTTGCTATGAATTAACATTATCTTACATTTCCATTGAATTTCCTGTACAGACTTTGTGCAATAAATTGATTTTTTGTTGTTAATTTTTTTGTTGGACTATTATATTCAATAGAAAAGGCCATAAAATTTATCTCGATTTTATGGCCAGAGTCTGGGAATCTTATACTAACTAATATATAGTGTATATTTCTGAGGGCTAATAAAACACCGGAGAGAAAACAATACAATATAATACACACAACAAAAAATATATAACTCGAAGAGAGAGTGAAATGAAATTAAAACCAAAATAAAAATCAATTGCAAAAAAGTAAAAATTGTTTTTTATTTTTCTTCCCTTTCCTTTTTGTGCCAGAATTATATACTGAGAGAGAGAGAGTATGTATTTCTCTTGAATTAACTCAAGTATTTATATGAAAATGAAGCCGTGAAATGCATCAGAGATGAGAGAGAGAGAGAGAATGAGTAAAACAGACAGCAATTTTACGGCCAACTACTTAATGAACTATACGTTAGTTTTACGTGACATTTATTATATTTCGTTCATTTATTAGTTTCCTTAAACACATTGTATATAACTATATATATATAACTGTAAATATATTTTACCACAATTTTTGCAGACCATTTCACACAAATCGTATGGAAGAGTACCGTCGAGTTTGGTATAGGGAAGGCCCACACCCGAGGGGGTAAACTGATCGTGGTGGCTAATTACAGGCCCTCAGGCAACATCATCGGTGGCTTTCAAGACAATGTTTTACCACGTATTAAGGATGACAGCCATCACAAGAAGTCTAAGACAAACACCACTTCCAGGACTAGTGGTGTCGACGATAACGCCGCTGAAGACATGGATTCGCTCAATGAGGCGTCCATTCAAACTCAAAGTCTATTAAGTAGTACTTAATTATTGGTTATTAGTAATAACTTATTACAAATGAATTACTTTTATATTAAAGGATCCTATAATTAGGTCTTAGAAAAAAAACATTATTTCATTCATTCATACATTTATTTATTATATGAGATCAGAATTAATGATTATCTGTAATATAAAGACATTATTAGATATAAATTAGACATTTATTTATTACGATATTATTTAGTTAAGAAATATGCTTTTATTATGTTTTTATTATCAAATTTTAATTTGTAATATTATTTTAATTTCCTTATATATGTTTGTATATTATATTGAGCATCAAATGTAGTATAAATTTAATTATTTTAATAAATACAATGATTTCTATCAATTTAATATGTTATTTATAGATTGTATATTAAAATTATATTGATAAAAATATTGATTTGGTATTAAACTATCAAACATAATTTTTATTTATGAAATATATTTTGTGTATAAAAATGATAAATAATTTCCTGGTTTTATTAATTCATTAAATAAAACTGTTGTATCTATAAAACAATGCAATCAATTATAAGCACATAAGAGAACATATAATAAAAGTTTACAACAAATACCAAACAGTAAATAGTAATCAATTATTAACTGAGAAAATTGGTTTTGAAAACAATTGCATGTCTTTTATATTTCATCCACTATTGATCCCCAGAAGTGGATAATAAGAGTTGTGTTTTTATCATGGATTGAATGCTGACCTTTCAAGTGATCAAATTGTCGTCTCGTTTTGGTAACCAATTGATAAATGTGTGACAATTTGTTGTCCGATCTCTCAAACTATCATTTACTACAGAATATTCTGTATATAATGCACTTTCGTGTGACAGTTAACGGCTTATAACATACCGTACGTCTCCGCCCAATCGTTATATCAAAACACTGTTTGCAAAATATATTTCATCAAAATTGAATTTTTAAATATTAGTTTAGGTTTTGGTGTCGCGAAAAATCAATTATTTTGGTCGTACAGTAAATGCATGAATGCATCACTCAATCAATTATTAAACTAATATATTATACTTTATTACAGATATATTGCGGAAATATATTGATATGTATTTGTGTTCAATAAGTGTCACAATAATTGTCAGAAGAAGTAATAAATTGTTTGTCAAATGAATAGGACTGTCGTCTGAGCGCAAGTATCTGTTCACTAATATCTTATGGCTATTGAGATCGGAAGTAGATTTCTTGTCATCATTTATTTTATACGCTTTTATAAATTATCATCTTTTCTATTAGTTAGAGAGAGAGAGAGAGAGAGAGAGAGAGAGAGAGTTTTTATAAATTATCATCTTTTCTATTAGTTAGAGAGAGAGAGAGAGAGAGTGAAATGAAATTAAAACCAAAATAAAAATCAATTGCAAAAAAGTAAAAATTGTTTTTTATTTTTCTTCCCTTTCCTTTTTGTGCCAGAATTATATACTGAGAGAGAGAGGGAGAGAGAGAGAGAGAGTTATTTGAAAATGTATGATGTGCTGATTTGAGTATATTTTGAAGTTTGCAATTGAAGTTTAAATAATAGATTAGAGCTTATGATAGTTATGATGAAGTGGAGAGAGATTTATTATATTCCTATTAGTATTACTATTGTTTTAGATTTGCAAACTATTGCACAAAATATATATAAAAGCACATCAATTATTCAAACATATATTCCGAGAAATATCATAATAATTCAGTGTATTATAAAATAATGTTTGTTTTATAAATAAATTAGCTAAAATAACCTGATTACTTTATATCTTCTACGATTATGTCTAAAATTATATATCTATTAAAAGAATCTAGATAATAAATATAGATTTACTTGTTAGTATAAATTCAGTATATTAATAAATGTATAACACTTTATTATTGAATTATTAATCCTATTTTATTGATTTATTGAATTTACATTTTCTTATATAATAGTAAACAAAGAATGACGCGAGAGAAAGAAAGAAAGAAAGAGAGAGAGAGAGAGAGAGAGAGAGAGGGAAGAGAAGAGGAGAGGTGTAATCATAAGTAAACAATATAAACATTGATTGTAATGAAGCAAATGGTTTGAGTAATATTTTTACTGAACCCATTGTAATTAAATTAGATTTCGCTTTTGTTAGTTTAGTTTTGATGCTATTTGTGTGCGGGTGTCGGGTGTTTGCCTTTCTGTTGGGCCTTTATTTCTTTATTCAACTGTTTTTGATTTTGTTGGACATTAGCCTCGATGTCTTGCATCTCTTTTTGTAGTTTAAGTCGATTTTCTTTGCTGTCGAGTCCCTGGGCTTTGTTGTACATATCAGTGATGTCTTTGCCATAGAATATGTAGACTGCGATACAGGCGGCACAACAGGCAAAGCAGATTACCAATATTGTCACCACAAGTATGACACCCACCACTTCAAAGAAACCCATTTGTCCGACAAATTTAATCAACTAATCACTCAAAAACTGGTTTAATATATGTTTAAATTTGGTTAGAATTCAGTGAATTATTGATGTTTTAATATATTGCCGTTTATTTTAAACAGATATTTGAATTTTTTAAATTAGTTATATTTCAGTTAAATACTTGATTATTAGTAATAATTTATTAGCAGAACTTAATGCAATGTAAATAATGTCAAAAATTGATTTAATATTAATTGTTTAGTTTGCTATAAGCAATAATTCAAATATTAATTGTGTTTTAATTAACCGAAAATTCAATTCACAAAAAATACATTATTTTCTTGTGGAAATAATAAGATTTTACATTTTTCAAAACCATTAACTATTAACTTTTACTATTACAAGTATAATAATAATAACTCGATCAATATTATTTAATTGAAGAAAAAATGGTATAAAATATTAATGTAAAAACATAAATAAAAACTATTTACAGACATAAATCATTAAATACAACAATTTTGTTTGGTTAGCATTAGTTTCTTGTTTTGGGCTAATTTTGATGGCAATAAAGCTAACAAATAGTTTGTAGTTTTGGGACTTCTATTAACTTTTTCATATAAATTTTGAAAATAACTCTTTTCAAAACCATTAGTCGATGAAATGAATGCCTGAAAACATAGCGAAAAATAACCAAAAACTCAAATGTCTTGCAATGAATACAGAGATTGTTATGTAATATTCATTTTGAATTTAATACATCAATCAAATAAGCCATTAATTTGTTTGTTTTTCATTTTCCCCACAAATGATCCCAAAGTTATTATACATTTCGACATAAATTATTTAAACATTAAATTACAACTAATTTAAAAGTCTGTGAAAATTATGAACAAAACAAAAGACATGAATTTATAAGAAACAATTTTTTATTGAAGAAAATATTGACAAACAATAAAACATATAACAAATCAAATGAGAGATCAATTGGTTTTGCATTTCAAACACTACTCGATTGAGAACTCATTGAGAAAGTCTTCGAGAGAGACGGCTTCGGCGATGACGGGCGCCGCCGATCTGTTGGGCGTCTCATCGGTTCCGGTGGCCGACGATGTGTTGGCCTCTTCTCCGGCAACTCTGGTCTCGACCTGAGGTTCTTTGGCTCCGTTGGCCACCGCTTCGGGAGATTCAGGTCTTTTGGTCCGATTTGCCGATGGCTTTGGCTTTGATCTGCCTTTTGAACTCACTTTTGCCACTTTTTTGGACACTGTCTTCGAGTCGCAAGAAGTGCTTCTCTTCCTCTTACGTCCGCTGCCATCGCGGGACGACTTTCTCGGAGATAATCTCATAATCACTCAATTTGGAGATAATTTAACACAATTTGAAATCTCTTTCGCTGTCTTTCTGTTGATAAATGAATTATCGGTTAATTTTATACACAATTAATATTTGAATTTTTGTCTATAGCGATCCAAACAATAAATATTCAATTAATTTCTGACATCATTTTACATTGTTTTACAATTTGTTAATAATTAAGTATTTATTTGATTATTTTAATTTAATTCATGGGATTTTGTGTTCTTTGTTTTTCTATTCAATTTACATCAATCAATAGTTTTAAATATAATATTTATCAATGATAAATTATCATATTTTAATATGATTTTTATTTGGAAAATTATAAAATAATTTAAAAACAATGCAAAACAACTGCTAACTATTTATAAGACAATAAATTAATTATTTTTGTTTTGCAATCAATTGGATCTTCTCTTTGATAGCGTCCAGAGTTTCCATAATCTTATCATTTTCTTCGGTTATTTTGCAAATATTAAACTCAATTAAAATGATATCTTTTTCAATAAATAAAACCCTTTTCTCAAACTCTTTGACGTTTTTCTCTCTCGAGAAGTCGTTTTGCAAACCAATCATTGATTTGAAGCGATTCCTGGCCTTCAGATACACAACCAGTTGTATAAACCGAACGCAAGCCCTGTCTTTAGCGATGAGCGACAGTCCATCCGATCGATGATATTGTTTCCAGAAGTTGTTGTCTTCGGTCTTATTATTACACGAATAGCACCGGAGTATCGATTGAATGAGTTTTACGGCCGGTTTCATCAATAGTGTCGTCCGTTTCTGGTTCTCCTCTATCCTGATTATTGTTTCCAGAAGTTGTTGTCTTCGGTCTTATTATTACACGAATAGCACCGGAGTATCGATTGAATGAGTTTTACGGCCGGTTTCATCAATAGTGTCGTCCGTTTCTGGTTCTCCTCTATCCTGAGGGCTAATCCGGTGCCGAAGATATTGGCCGGAAGTGCGAAGAATATGATTCCCAAAGTGCCAAACGTGAAGACAACCAGTTTTCTGATCACTGTTATCGGCGCTATTTCTCCGTAACTGTCATTCAATGCAAACTCATTTTAATTATCTCTACTTTTGGTCTTAATGCAGTTATTGTCACAATTACTGACCCAATGGTAGAGAAGGTAACAAATGTGAGCCAAAGACTGTCTGCAATACTTGAGATGTTTTCATTGATATCCTTTTCTATTAAATAAATCCAAAATGAAGTGAATGTGAGTAAAGTTGAAGCGAATACTATCACT